GATGTAGCGATAGCAGATAAGGAAATTGAGGTTGAAAAGCAAACTTTGAATGATATTGTTTCCCCTTTTAAAATATGGAAGAAAAAAGAGTCTCAGAAACAAAACAAGCACAGGGAGGAAAGGGGAGGGGAGAGCAGGATTTATATTATTTTGGGTCTGCTGAGTGTATTCTCAAGAAAAAAGGAGGGTGAAAGAGGGGATATATTTCACAATTGGCCTTGGTGTTCTGATGCTGTGGGAATAACATAGATTTAAGCTGTATTACACGTATAAGTTGAAAGCTAAAGAGGTTAATACATAGACAAAATAGTCAAAAGAAGAAGAAGAAGAAAAAGAAGAAGAAAGATGAACCTTTATTGGAACATGAATAGATTAGATGTTTATATACTTGATATGTAAGATTGAATGATTATGCATTTGATGTTTTCTTATTCTCAAAACCCTTTTTCCACTCCCCCCCACTGCCCTTTGCCTTTTGTATTCCTTCCCCATTACCCAATAGTTTTGAAAATAAAATTAAAAAAAAAAAAAGAAATACTGTAAATCTGAGAATCCAAGGGCATGTGCAAAAGGAAGTCACCTGGTGACAGCAAGTAATGAAGAAAGAAAATGAAATTTTGGTGGCAGGTTTAGGCTCAGAATCGGTGGACTGTTTCCTTTCAATTTTCACAGATGTTCTACATCTGCCCAGAAGAATGAAATAAGGTAAAGTAAATGTGAATACACCACAAGTACTTTCAGAATGCAAACAGGCCAGTATTTTTTTCCATATCACATGCTCAGATTTATTTCAACTTCTAACATATCACTGTTGCTCTTCAGATACTCTGCAACGTAAAACCATTAAGACAGCCTCACAGACTTGCAGTTAATTACGCTTCTTAATAAATACCTCAGGTGCTTCATCATCCACAGGCATCACTGTGATGTTAAAGAGAAGACCAGTCCTCATTCCTCCCTGCTGGTCACTGACAGAAAATTCAAACTGCACAAACAACGGATCAGGGCCCATCTCCACCAATGGCGGCATGTATGCCACTTTCATATGTGTTACAGCATGCTGGCAGGAGGAAAAGAGAGCCATTACATTGCATGAGTCCCACATCCCTTAGTTCTTGCTTTGCAGAATGAAAGGAAACCAGATGAGTAACTACTGCAACCAACCACCCAGTTCTGATGTGTTGATCCTAGATTTCGCCTTTATGGTGTAATGCAAGAGAAAGAAAACCTCACATATAGAGATGGGCACAAACCAGTTTGTCCCAGTTCATCCCAGTTTGCATAGGCAGCAGCACATGTTGCTTCCCTCCCCTGTTGCTACCCTCCCCCACCTCTTACAGCTTAGTCAGCCACCTACCAGGCCCAATGTGCTAACTTCCTGTACCTCCTCATCTGATCTTCCAGTCCAGGCAATAGCCTGGGCTCCTCTGCCTGACCCTTTTGGCTGATCTTCCACTCAGACAAAAGGGTAGGGCAGAGAAGTATGTGCTCTTGCTTGTAACTGCGAGGTGGAAAAAGCAACAAGCTGGGCCTGACAAGAGGCTGGTCGGCTGAGGAGCAGGGGAAGGGAGCAGCAAGACCTGTGCTGCCACCTTCATGAACTGGGCCGAACCAGTTTGTGTCCACCTCTACTCACATAGTTTAACCACAGCAGGATAAACAGCAAACTGGAAGAATGTTCCAGTATAGAGTACCTCTAGAATGTGAATGTTGGCTGGCCGGTCAAGTGAGTTAGCTATGTGGCTGCAGAGCCAGAGGTTGGAAGTTCAACCCCCTACCATGTCTCTTGGGAGAAATGTCACCCTGCATAACCTTGGGCAAGCTGCACAATGCTAGGGCATGCACAGGAGAAGGAAATGATTAACCACTTCTGAGTATTCTCTACCTATAAAACTCTGAAAAATCAAAATCGACTTGATGGCCTGCAATTATTATTATAATGTGAATACAGTATTCTTATCAAGCTCTAGGTTTTGCTTTTTAGGCATCTTTAATCTTTCATATAGTTCAGCACTCCCCAGACTAGTGCCTCTAGTAATCTGGACTACCGCTTCTGTCATCCCAAACCAACACAGTGAAGGGTTCTGCTGTCTGGAGATGCTGGATGCTGTTGTCTAAAAGGAAGAATCTGGAGGGCATTAAGTTGCTTTTGAGCTCCACCTCTGATGGTTGTCAGCAATGCATGGAGTTTGGAAATCAGAGGTTTAGAATGCAAATGACCCATTTTGGAAGACTGATGCAAAACCTTTCGGGAGTTCAGATTTAGCTAATTTATTGCATTAATTTATACATTAAGCCAAGATTAAACAAACAAACAAACATGGCATGTTAAACAGAAAAATACACGTACTGGGAATCTGTGATGAACTGTTTTTTTATATAGTTTCTTCCTCATCTGTGTATACTACGGACTGAAATAATGTTTTATGGACTTTATTTATTCTTTATTTATTTATTTATTTATTTTATTGGACCGCCCCATAGCGCTACAAGCACTCTCCGGGCGGTTTACAATTTTTAATTATGCAGGCTACACATTGCCCCCCCCCAGCAAGCCGTGTACTCATTTTACCGACCTCGGAAGGATGGAAGGCTGAGTCAACCTTGAGCCTGCTTCCTGGGATTTGAAGCCCAGGTCGTGAGCACAGTTTTAGCTGCAGTACAGCGTTTTAACCACTGCGCCACAAGGCTCTTAGTGTTTCAATGACTTGAGTCATTAGTGTTTCAATGACTTGAATTTTGATAACAGCAATGTATTTGTCATGTAACTGAAAGATAACAAGTCAAGCATGCCAGAATAGATAGGAGGGATTTCTCCAGCTAGCATGATTCTATGCAGTTTTAAAGGAAAGGACCAGATCTTGCTTTGTGTTTCAAACTGGACCAGTAGCTCATATGTTCTTTCAACACCAGTGAGATACACTTATGTCAACCAAGCCCAGAAAAGGGGGCAGCAGGGGGAGACCGGTGTTTCTGAGCAGGGAATGGGGAGGAAAATGTAGAAGGACTCCAGACTTGTGTTTTCAATGATCTAATGAATGAAACAAGAGCTGGAAAACAGAAGCAGCCTGAGAATTAAGATGAATTATGCTTGGTCTAGATGTGAATCAAGCTCTAGGTTAGCTAGGTTTGCTAGTTAACAACACCCAGGAGGGTTGTACCCTCCATTACATAACAAATTAAAAATAAATGGGTGTAAGAAACAAGTGACTTTTTCTTTCCATGACAGGTTTAGATACAGAACTTGGAGAACTGAAAAATGGTATTGGATAACAAAGTGGAAGACTCTGTGTGCTTCAGAGCTTGATGCTGAAAACATTAGGAGAATGGGAAATGGCCCTGGAGAAAACAACAGTGGATAGTAGGAGACCAGCATAGGTTGACATCATTCCTGTTTGTTTGGATGGCAGATATCAGAAGCAGCGAACCTTCACTGAATTTTCCCATTGCACTAAATTCTGAGCAGTCTGTAGCCTTTGACCCTCTAGATATTTCCCCAAAGCCCTTAACATTGGTCATGCCAGAGGACACTTCTAAGCTTTGGAATCCAAAACATCTGATGGATCAAAGATGGAGAAGCACTGTTCTAAATGAGCAATGTAAGAGTTGTTTTTATAGCCACTTACTTGTGTGAAAGATGATAATGCAGGAGTAGAATAATTGTTCAAATAACTTTTCATGCTGTCCATGAAAATCAGCTTTCCAGCATCATAAATCCTAAGAAAAAGGAAAAACTGATGCTATTTTTTCCTTTAAAACAACAGTCATATTAATGTTTTATTAAAAATGAGGCAAAATTAAGACATTCTCTAAAATGAGTCTTATGGTACCTTGAATCCAGAAAAAGTATTATAGGATAAAGTTTCAGGGATTACAATCCATTTCATTACATCATGAAATATTAACCTGTGTTGTGGGTCTATATCTACTTCTTTGGTTGTGGAGATTCTGGATTCAATGTATTCTTGAAGGCTTTCACAGCCAGGATCCAATGGTTGTTGTGGGTTTTTCTGGCTGTTTGGCCATGTTCTGGAGGTTTTCCTTCCTAATGTTTTGGCAGACTCTGTGGCCAGCATCTTCAGTGGACAGGAGTCAGAACTCTGTCTGTGCTCTGTAATAAGATAAGACTGTGATGTCCCAAACAGCCCGGAAAACCAACAACAACCATTCTGCTGAAATAAAAAAATCTGAAAGATTAAATATATTCACATAGCTGTACGAAATTCTCCAGACAACTTCTCTGTGCATGAGAGACAGCACAGTAAGACCTATTGTGCTCCCACCCCAGAATAATGAGGCAAGACTCTATGATGGGATAAAAACAGGGCCACACATTATTAATCATATAACTTTAAACTTTCTGGCCCTTCATGTATCCAGCGGGGGCTGCGGTCATGTGGAATGACCTTTCTTTATGACACTGGGTGAGTGTCCAGCGCCAAGGAAGCGTGGCCCATATGCCCACGCCTCCTCGGCCAGCCAGTGTTTGACCACCCCTGGGCCTCTAGCCTCCTATCCCTTGGTGGCCTTTGGTCCGGAGGTGTCCCCAGCACATTGTCCCCCCGTGCACAACAGCCAATCAGAGAACGGGTCAAAACTTCCTATCTGGCCCCCACGGTGACCAACAAAGCTCATACTAGTTAAAAAAGGCAGGTGAGTGGAATGCAAGCCTCGAAAGAGGCCGAATGGGGGAGGAAGGCCTGTTTAAACTTCACTCCTCCCCCTCCCTTCCGGGACAGCTGGGACATGCAAACCACGTCTCGCGCTATTCCAGGTGAGAAGGCAAACACGCTCCACGCGGCAAAGCTTCTTGCCGTAGGAGCAAACCATACTGCACAGAAAATTCACTAATGTGGTACCACAGTTAAGAGCAAGCCAATTTTCCATGCCAACATTCTGAAAAGTTCATGCCATTTAAACTTTGCCCTCTTTTAAAGTGTTATGGGACATTGCATGTTCTTTTAAGTGCAGTCCCCCCTGCCCCGCCACACACAGCATAAATAAGAACTGTTTAGTCATCCAATTTTTATTGAGAATTACAGTCATAGTGAACGTAGCCTGTTGTGTTCCCTTTACCTATTCCCACCCCAGTCTCATCTTGTTACACTTTTCAGTGAAAGGATTACCCAAGTAGAATTTGGCTTCTCCTCATGGCTAACTTGATTTTTAAAACATTTAATTGTGCTACTAGAAATACCATGGTCAGCTGCTTGAGGAAGATATTCTTCCATGAGAACCCATTGTGAACGGGATTCCATCGCCTGACCACTTGGTACTATTTGGGTACAACTCATCCGAGTTTCTAACCTCGTCTGACAATTGAACATAAAATCTGATGTGTTGCTCCCCATTACTCTGGCCTAAACCATACAGAAGAGCCTGTGGACCTCATCAAGGTAACGGGCAGTTCCACAAAAGGACACAGCCAGGTTTTTTCCTACAGAGAGGGGGAGACACTGTAGATGAATACCTTCTTTAACATGTTTGTTTTAAAGTGAATCTATAGTTGTCATTTTTGCCTTGCTAGTTGTCTGCTTTCAAAAGCGAGGTTGCTCCATTTGTCCAGAGTTTCTGGATTCTTGCTTCTTCCCCAGCTCTGTATATTTTACAGCATCTATGCATGCATAAGAGCTTTGAAGGAGTTAAAATATCTCCTTCACTTCTTTGGGGAGATTAAAGATTTTACCTAATCCAGAAGTTTTATCCAGTCCTTTCAGGTGTTTGCATTGAGGTAGTGGTAATGTTCTGGATGCTAGAGGCCTATTTAGTCATACTTTCCATTTCCTGATCACCTCTACACTTTTACCTGCACCAAGAAGCCACTTCTTTAATTTAATGTTGCTTCAGAGCTGAAAATGGGAGGAAGCCCCACCCCCAGAAAAAATTATGTTCAATTGAAAATGCATTTTATCGATTTTACTTCACTTGCCTTGAACCTGAGCCAAACTGCAGTTAAAAGAGGGATGACATGGAGGAAGTTCAGCAATATATATCTTTTAAAGATAAGAGATGTTATATGTTTGATTTCACATGGATTATCTTTAATTAAGAAAGAGAAGGTGGCATGGCTTTCTCTCCATTTGTCTCTGCAGTGAGACTTAGAATTTCAAGGCAAAAAAAAATCCAGTGTGGAATGCGCTATGTTTAATTAGCATTCTTCCTTTACAAAGCAGCAGTCATAGCACTGACACTCTTAAAGCAAAGTGGGCAAAGCATCTGAAGTACTCCAAGCAGTAGTTTCTGCCAGGAGAAGAGGGGGTTTTCTAACCTCTGGTGGCATTTATGCTTTTTACAGGGGCAGCAATTGTGCCAGCTACAGCAAAGGGAAGGAAAATCTACCCTAGTACAGGAAGCTCTTCTAAGAATATTTGATTTACAGCTGGTGTTCAACCAGGCCACACACTTTTTCCATTTAAATGTGCCCTTTCAGAATTCCCCCTTTTATGGGTGCACAAAGGACACCTACCCCGGGGAAGCTGGGGAGGAGCAGGGTTTTGTAATTGTATACATAAGCTGGTTGTCTGGTGACTCAGCATCTGTAAAATGAAGGTGGTGCTTTGTGATGTATGCAATGTCCTTTTCTTTGACAACAAGGTTCCTTACTGTTCCTGGGACTTCTTCTGGCAAATGGTCTTTCACTGGCTTAATGTGAATCATCATGATCTATAAGAAAAATGTCAAGATAGTGGATTTATGTCTTCTAATATAGCCGTTCATTTGCTACTTGAACATCTTCTCCCTATCATCAGCAAAGTACCACCCAAAATGCCATCAGGTATAAGGAGAGAATCCCAGACTCTAGTGATGCCCTCTTTGCAAAAACACAACCAAACAACTGTTATTCTTTTATTCCCATTCTAAATTGTTTTTCATAAATAATGCAAGACGCCTACAGGACTCCTGCAATTAGCCACACACAAAGAGAAAGGAGGATACGAATCATAACATTACTTTGAATTAAGTCATCCTGAAACAGATGAGCATGGACTATCACTTTGTAAATGTGAATTAAAATGTTGCATATAGAAATCCTCTTTTCTACATGTTTCATTTGCAAATCTAATTCCACGTGCACCAACACACACACCACAGAGAGAGAGAGAGAGAGAGAGAGAGAGCTCTGTAAACGGCAGGCAAGACTGTTGTTTAAACCTGCTGCTAAGATAGTGCCAGCTACATGAATTGGGGAGTACCAGGCAGGCTGCTGCACCACACAGATGGTACCTAGATTAAACAGGAGGGACAAGAAGCAGGATCAGAGTCTCTGCAGCTGGCATTAGCCACATTGCCTGCAGCTCTGGAGCTTTCGGAGGGGGCAGGGAGAGACAGAGACCATTCCTGCTGCTTTCCCTGGAGGGAGATGGCTGGATGGAAGACATGCCACATGTCGAAGAGGAAGATGCTCACTATTTCTGATTACAGATACATGGAGTCACATTTCATGCATGTATTCAGGATGAACATATATTTGTACTTAGAGGGTGAAGAGATTTCTCTCAGAACCCTTAGCTGTTTGCCCAGAACTGATGCTTCTGCTATTCTCTTCTGCAACTTTATTTTCCCTAAGATAACAGTAAAAATTTACCTGAGGGTCTGAAAGATTAGGTGGTTCTTGACTGTCAGCTAAAATAAACTCAAACGAGTCTTGGAAAACTTCTCCTCCAAAATGGCGGTAGTAAATAAGACCATTGAAGAGATCTTTTTGGAAGAAGCTGAACACAGGGATACCTGAGAATCCAACACAGTAAAACAGTAACAAATTTAAAATTTGCATTTCCTCCACCATACAAGGCGCCGCATTCAGACCGCTAAGCATCTAGCCTAATGTTTTTTTGTTTTCTGACATGTTTAAAGCAACTTTCTATCAGAGATCCTGCTTCATTGTTTCACTAGATTTTTGCTTACAAAACATATACTTGGCCATCGAATACGAGTTGGAATAATCCTCTTCAGACAAAAATGCAGAACCACTACCAAGCAGCCTCTCATATGAAGTGTGAGATTCCATGATCCAGGAAGAACCTCTAGGAATGTGCTTTTTGGAATTAAGGGATTTTTATGCCCATAATTCAGCAAGAACACACAGAATCCAGGTTGAATAATGGGAGTAAAAGTTCTAAAACCTTCTCACCTACTTCTGTAAGGTTACCTTAGTATAGAGCGTGTGAAGACAGCTTCCATTAGAACTTGCCCTTCCATGAACCTTTGTAAGTAGCAGAGAAACCTCATGCCTCACAAATGGCAGCAGGACACTTTTCTTCCCACTTGACAGAAACAGTGTGGGAGCAGAAGGACTAAGAGGGCTGCTCTTCCTCCTGCCAGTTTGAGGGCTTTTACTCTCATAATTGGAAAGGGCCTATAAGGCTATCTAGTCTAATCCCCTGCTCAATGCAAGGATCCAAATCAAAATATATCTGACAGATGGCTATCTAACTGGATGTTTATCATGACCATTTATGGTAGCTGGACGTTGCCACTGGTCCCCTGCAACAGGTTTGCCTGATCTTCTGATAGGACTCTGTCTCTTTTTTCTCATATACTGACTTTAAATTCCCCTTGACATTCTGCTCTGTTTAAAGTCAGATAAATAATAATAGCAGGGTCAAGAAGTCCAAAGTCAACATCAGTAAACGTCTGCTATTATTATTTATCTGCATGGAATTAGTACAGGTTGTCTTTGCCATTGCCTTATAATCTCAATGCACAGTGGTGCCTCGAATTACGACCATAGTCTGTTCCGGAACATGAACGTAACACAAAATGGACGTAAGCCGAAGCACCATTTCCCATAGGAACGCACTGGAATGCGATTAATCCATTCCGGCCAAAAAATAATAATAGCAACAACAACAACAACAACAACAACAACAAAATAAAGCACACAACAAGCCCCATTGGAAGGTGCTGGGGCTTTTAAAAAAACCAAAAAAACACCCAAAAATAAAGCACATAGCAAGCCCCGTCAGGAGCTGAAAAAATAAACACACCAAAACACAACAAAACATCACAGCACATATACATAACCCCCCCCCAGCCCAAAACCACCCTGCAAAACCCTGTAAATGTACTTACTCAAAACCAGAAAACAGCACCAGGCAGCCCGAAGCCTCCCCCGATGCACACACTCTAACCGTTGGGGAGAAGAGCTACAAAGAAGCTCTTGGCCAACCAACGGTTAGCCCTCTAATTTGAATTCTTTGCCTTTTCCCCCTGCCTCTTTTGATCGCAACTTGAAGCTCTGGCTGCAAGTCGAAGCAAAATTTTGAAGCCGGAGCTGGTCACAACTTGAAATGGCCATATGTCGGGATGGTCATAAGTCGAGGCACAACTGTAAAAGTATTGTATGATGGTTCGATTTTATATTTTTATCCAGTCTAAGATGGTACCAACAATAACAGTTCTATTTTAAAATTTGCTGCAATGAACATAATTATGCTACCTGGTCCATCTGGAAAGTGTTGCTTGATAATTTCTCCAGCACTAGGTGAGTTGGATATTTTGTAGAGTATATAGTCATCACTTGAGTCAAAATCAGCAGCCATGAGCAAATTATTTCCAATAACAGCCATGTCCCCTTCTTCCAGCTCAAATACAAGATTGTTCACCAGGAATGGTGGGCTGTCATCTTTAGGAAGAATGTTAATAGGAAACTTGTCTCTAATACTGTACTTTCCATCAAAGATTCTGAAGATTATATCATCCCTGGTGGTATCACTGTCATCATGATGGTAGCGGACAACTCCATCCCTGAGATCTTTAACTCCAAACTTGAAGCTTTTGTTCCCTGCACAAGACCAGAGAAGGAAAAGAATGGCACTTTTCACATAGTGTGATTCTGGAATATTCAGTGCAGGGGAATATTAAAATTGCACTCTTCTCTCCTCAGATATGATTCATCTTTTCATACCTCTCCCTTAAGTTCGCTGAATTGAATGCAAAATATGTGGAATCCAGTGGCTCAAAACATTGTGTTTCAACTGCAGAAAGCTGTATTATATTATCTTTATGCTAGAAAATTGGTGGAACTTCTCAGGGTGAATATTTCACTTGCTGTGACATACCAATATCAATGCTGAAAAAGAGTCCCGAGAATTGGATTTTATGATGCACTGAATCCAGCTCACGTTTATTTTTGCATAAAACTCAACCAACATTTTCAATGTTCAATTCTCTGAATATTAAAATTACATCAAGTCTAGGGAGTAACATACCTTGGACTGTGAGCCAACCATGATTTAAGCCTTCCATCACAAACAGCTGAACAGCGTCAAGGTTGTCATTATCTACAATCTGAAGAGACTCCCAAGTAATTGGGCGAGACTGTCCTTCTAACAAGTCGAGCCCTATAAATAGGCATTTTAAAGCACAGTAAAGTTAGATACATCTCAGTAAGCAGACACAGCAATTCAGTATTCAGGCCACTGTGGGGTCTGCTTTCCACATAAATAACTGCAGGAGGTGATAAAACTCAATACAATTGCATGTGTAGAGGGAGAAATAAATATAAATTGTTGTTTCTTAAGTAACTGAAATGATGCCCAAACCATTCGGGGAAAAAAATTGGTTCAATGTTTAATAGTACAGTTAAACATCATGAATGGACAAAGGAGAGAGAGAAAATTTTAAATTATAAACATCTTGAATTCTTCTTATATGGATGGACAAGTGTGCTTCTTTCAGTATTAATTAAAAAGCACTTCTATATGAATGAATTCCCTAATATGCTTCTACATGATCACACATCTTTCACACTGGAAATGAGTAGATGGTGAAACTTCATATGTGAATACAGTTCACAAAAGAATAATTCACAAAGGGAAGTCCCTTACCCATGTTCCATGCAACTCTAGGAGCACTTGTTGCCGCACTTCGGACTGAAAAATGGACTACGATAGGGAAGCTGTTGGCAAAGAAGCTATCAATTGCTTGAAACTCAACCTAGGGAAAGAAGGTTAAAAGAGCTCTTTTGTGACTCTTGAACTGTAGGTATGTAGTAGCTTGTGAGCACAGAGAGGCAATGTGGAGAAAGAATATCCATGCCACATCTCTCACCTCAAAGTTCTGTCTCTCAGAGTAAGAAATGTTGGATGGCTGGAAAGCAATTTTTCTATCATACAAATCCTGCCACGTGAAAGATGTAATGGCCTTGGAGTGATCTTCCAGATGGGTAATGTATCCCTGAGGAGGAGGCTTGGTAATGTTGAAAACCAATCTTTCCTTTGGAGTCTCTTCATCTTCAGCATCCAAAGTCACTGTTGTGAGAGGAGTAAGAATAAACTCATCTATCTCCAAGATGAACATGGACATGAATGCAGCTTGAGGTTGTCCATTTGGAATGGCCCCTTGTATCTTTACAGGAATCCAAACATTTTCTGCCTACAAATAAGGAAACCAAATATCTCTTCAAATTCACCACAGTGGGACAAATGCACATTATTTCTTAGTAATACTTCAGGTGATTCTCTCACTTTTCCAGTGAGCTACCGGGACACTGTTGGGAAAAGAAAACCACTGAATTATTTCTGAAGTCTACTTATCTGAATTGTTGACAACAAAAAGAAAGAAAAGAAAGACTGAGATTCATGTAAGAAGATAAGTAGCAGTGTCCATTTTTGAAGATCTGCAACAAATCCCTCAACTTTTCTAGCTGACTGCTTGTTTAACTGAAAAAGAATATACTGCATTAGGACCTTGTGTTGACTAAACAGTAATCTTGCACCACAAGTGGAAAGATAAGTCATGTGGATGGGGATTTTGAAAATATCCTTTATCCCACAGTCCACCTTGGGGAAAAAATCTTTATTTCTGTAGTGTTGCCCATTTCCTCAATAGGAGAGCAGAGTTTGATGGTTCATTCTCAGATGCCGATTGGACAGCCCACATGAAATGGTATTTATCTCTTCCATGTGGGGAATGACCCTAAGGCCACTGTAACTTATGCAATATTGGTGTTTCAAGATAGCGGTATGCACTCTGAAACTCCTACCAATCGTACAGGATCCCAAAAAGAGTCTTCACACAAAACAAATGTTCATTCTAGCAACACTCGTTCTGGCAAATAGAGATGGGGGTATTCATATTCGTATACAAATATCCCTGAACAGGTGGCGTTAACGAGGGTCAAGCCCCATGAGACTGGATGGTCCATGCACCTATCCAGTGTGGACATGGACGGCCCGATTCTACCAATAGCTCTGCAGCACGCGATCCGCTTACCACTCTTCAACCTTTCAGCAAGGCTTGTCCTCCCGCCTCCTGCCAGGAGTGTTGAGAAGATTGTGCGCTGCAGAGCCATTGGTAGAATCCCACCGTCCATGCCTGTGGCAGATCGGTAAGTGAACCGTCTGGCCCCATGGGGCTGGACCCTTGTTAACACCACCTGCGCAGGGATATTCATATACGAATACCCCCATCTCTACTGGCAGCCTATCATTTTGCTACAGAACCAGTGAGTAATGACCATAATGCACATTCCAGGCAATGGCCTCACAAACAGGTTCTTCAGATGGGGTTTCTTGGGTGGGAGAGAACAGGAGAAAGAACAGTAAAGTTATGCAGAATATATGACTTACTACATTTTCAAATGCATGCTATTTTTTTCTCACCTGCAACTGAAGCCTGCTCTTTTTTTCTCTGATTTCTACTTGAATTGCGATATAATCCTTATCAGGTGATGGAGGGCTGAGGTGTTGGTATCTAAGACCCATCTCCAGAAAGTCTTCACAGCTCACCTTTAGAAGTTGTATTTCTTTTAACCCTGAATGGCAGGCAGCATTGCTGCGACAAGGGAGTTTGGATTGTGCAGCTGAGCCAAAGCAGAGGGGAAACACACATCTTTACAATGCAAAATATTTCCAATCTTCAAAAAGATCAAGTTTCTTTGTAACACAAGGGATCTTGCAGAGATTTGAAAATTCTGAATAATGAGGATTTTGAGTGAATGATAATGTAAATTTCTACAATTTTTGGCACAGGGATCTTGATGCATACTACAGATCTCAGCCTTACACTATTATATGCTATATGCTACAGATACCAGCCTCATACCAGAGTCTGCAAATCAAGTCACATGACAATTCTTATTCACTTAGCGGTGAATTCCTTTATACGTGTCTGTACATGTACACGTGAAGGCATTTAATGGTTTTGTCAACATCTTAAAGTGTTGAAATATTTTGTCCGGGCTCGATTATTTTGAAGGATTTCACACTTTGTGAATTCTAGACTTGTTCCAGACATCAGACAGACATTGCCACCTCCATGTGACTAATTATATACACACAGAGAGACATATTGTAAACAATGATTTCAATGCCTAACCCCCATTCCAAATGGTTATATGCAACAACTACTCCATACTTTTTCATGCACCATAGCAAAGCATTACCTTCCTTTTTAGTTGAAAATACTAGGACTTAATGCAATAGAGGAGTGGCAACCCAGGTATTTTTGGACTGCAACTTCCAGAAGCTCCAGACAGCACAGCTAGTGGTGAAGGCTTCTAGGAACTGCAGTCCAAGAACACTTTGGTTACCCAAAGTTGGGAATCACTGCAACAGATCAAATAATTATTCTGATTAAAGCTGTTATGATAGGAGTATAACAACCATGACATCATTCAGAGATCACCTGATCTAAACATCAAATAGCTCCTTCTAGAAAAAAATTACAGATTAGACAATGGCTCAAAATGTTGATATGTAGTACATTGAGAAACATGATGTATATTGTTTCAGCTTAATTAGCAAGATCATGGTCCTGTTGCATAAGTATGAAGCCTCTTGGCTCTTCCCTTCTTGCAGGAAGGAGAACCACAAAAACTTCAATGAGCTGTGCTTTCCCATTCAATTTGCTGGTTTGCATGAAGGAAAGAGTGAAAGGGATACAGGCATATGCCTAAGGTTTGTTTACATCTCAAACTAAATAAACCAAGGTATGGGCATTCACACAGAGCTACTGACTAAACTAGATGGGGATTGGAAGTGAAATTATGTAACCATGAGTTTTTATTTTAAATATAGCAATATAATATTCTATTGGAAGAAGAAATATTATCATTATTTGAATAGCTTCCAGGTCCAAGAATGGGACAGCCATTGTTTGTACCTGTCCTCTGAGAATTGACTGCATAAGGTATCTTATTAACAGTATTTTAATTGTTAAGTATACAGAAGAAATTCCCTGCCATTGAAGAAGATCCTTTTCCTTTCTTAGTCTATTTCCCCCCCTTTTTTTTTTCTAGAATGAAGTCTGCAGGACCTATTTCCTTTCACCATATGCTCCTCTCCCTCATAAGGATAGTTCTGCCTCTTCTCACTCATCAGTGGCACAAGAAAATGACAGCTATTTGCCCCTCAGAAATGATTAGATTAGATAGTTATGGACCAGAATCCTATGGGTTATTTATGCTGGTGTAGATGCAGTGGCAAATTGCTGCTAGTTAATGAATCATTAAGTCACTGGAAGTCGTAAGACTGGTGCATGATGAAGGAACACATGTGGTGACTTGTAAACAAGCTGCCATTCACCATTGCAGTTTATGCCCCTATACCTATGCCACCAAAAATAACCAACAGGATTTTAGCCACACCTTTTTTCTTTAATGAGAGAAGTACTTTCACATACAAGAGATAAGGTTAAAAAAATAAGGAAAATCACCTTTCTTCAGTCCAGTAAGCAGTTGTATGTTTTCATTTTTTGGCATCTGAGGGTCTTCAACAACTATCTGGCCAGAAAGAGGAAACTCAGATGACATGATTCTTACTGTGCAGGCTTTACCAAGCTCATGGGGTTTGAAAGTCAAAATGTTTTTGTCAATGGGTTGAGAAATCCCAAGAAAACCTGGAACCTCTAGAGAAACTTGTCCAAACTCAACAAGACTTGATGCTGGGCTTTTGATCTCTATATGAAGAATAAACTTCTCTATAATGGTCTCTGCTGCAGTAAACCTGAAAAGTGAAAGGGGGTTGGAGTTTAATGTTTTTTTCTTTTCTATTGCACAGACTATACATTCCTTGTTTTTTAGAAGGAAACTGAATTATACTTATATATATCAATAAGATCTTATTTTCCATCAGCAGAACATGATGATCAGAATCCTATTGGCATTCACACAAGGTTTGTACAATATGTAACAGCTAATTGAGGCTAATAACGAGGTGTCAAGGTGCATCTCAGTCACATGCCTGGTCAAATGTGCAATGGAGATGTGCGTCATTATCTTGTTAATTAGCTATAGCAAGTTACACAAAACTAATGTGAACCCGCAGTAGGATTCTAGCCAATGGAATCCAATGAGATAAGATCCAAATCCTTTTGAACATTTAGTAAAATGGCAATTAGTAGAATGACACAAATGACACACAAACAGATAACTGTTAGCTTGTTAAAGTAAGAACGAGTCCTATACTACTGTATCTTCTTGTTGTTTAGTCGTTTAGTCATGTCCGACCCAAATCCTTTTGAACATTTAGTAAAATGGAAATTAGTAGAATGACAACAAATGACACACAAACAGGTAACTGTTAGCTTGTTAAAGTAAGAATGAGTCCTATACTATCTTCTTGTTGTTTATTCATTTAGTCATGTCCGACTCTTCGTGACTCCATGGGGTCTTTTCCAGGGAGTCTTCTCTTCTTATGAGATGGCCAAAGTATTGGAGCCTCAGCTTCAGGATCTGTCCTTCCAGTGAGCACTCAGGGTTGATTTCCTTTAAAATGGATAGGTTTGTTCTCCTTGCAGTCCAGGGGACTCTCAAGAGCCTTTACTATCTTAAAGACACATTTTGTACAACAAGTTTTTTGTCAGCTGTAGCCCACTTCTTCAGATGCATCTGAGAACTAACTATGACATAAAGACACCTTTGTTTTTAAGGTTCCACAAGTCTCCTTGGTTTTAGAATCACAGTTACTCTTTGCAGTCAGTGGCCATTCAGCTGCTCCCAATAGGCAATCTAGAAATCCTAGGTAGCATTCAATGGGTTGTCATTTGAGATTTTAGGCAGCATTTTCTTCCTGTCCAGCAGAGGCAGAGTTTCTGTATATTGATCATCCAGTCTGAGGATAAAATCCCGGATCCTATGTGTCATCTTTAGACACAACAAGGGAGGCACTAAACAACAACAGCTGTCCTACAATGAGCTTCCACAAAGAAGACAACAGAAGCAGACAGTATGAAAGCAATAAAAACAAAGGACCAGACTCTTGAATAAAGAGTCAGTTGGGCTCAAAGAAGTCTAAAATTAAGAATCTGCTTTCAGAACAACAGATTTCTTAAAAGTGTCTTTGAAGTATAATGTTTATGGGGGAAAATACATACTCAAGGCTTAGCTAACACTAAAGACACACCTGTATACTCTCAGCATCACAATGTCTTCATTAACCAGTGGGCAACCGTTGTGAATGTATTTCACTTCATTGGGTAAGAAATGGCAATCGAACACCTGATAAAGAAAACAGCAAACATGATGAATGCCTTCAATAAAAGTAATAGATAGCACTCAACAATACAGTATCTGTTAGACCAAAGGTGCCCCATCTCTGTTTTAAAGATAACTGTGTGCCATCAAGTTAATTCTGACTTATGGCAACCCTTTCCAGGGTTTTCTAGGTAGCGAGTACTCAGAGGCAGTTAGCTTTCCTTTCTTCTGGGAGTACATGGGACTGTGCAGCTTACCCAAAACCACACAGGTTGGCTTTTCTGTGATGCATTGGGGGGGCTGACCTCCCAAATATTGGCTCCATAGCCAGATACCTAACTCACTGAGCAATCTGGGAAGCATTAAAGATAAGGACTGGAATACTGTGCTTCAAAAGAGAGATGACCTTCATAAATCCTGAACTTAAAATCTAAGCCAAAGAAGAATTTCTGCCTTGTTCTCCCACAAATCCCACCCTGCATTTCTAGGGCTGCCCCATGACATTTTGCTGCCTGAGGTGAAACAACAAATCAAACATCCAAACCCAAGGCCAGAGTGATGCACAATATTCAAGAACAGCCAAGTTACTTCAGTATTTCCTGTTAGAATTCCAGTTTTGTGGTGAATAAGTGCATAGAACAAAAACATGATCAGATGAATACCTGTGATTTTATTTCAGGAATACTCCTCCTTAAAGGAGAATCTACTATGGTTCAAGAATACTCCTCCTTAAAGGAGAATCTACTAGGTGAAGGTGCTACTTTGTCCCCAAAGTTCACCACTTTTTGAACCCTAGGTTGAGTGAAACCTAGAAGGTGTGCGACTGGGTAACCATGAGCGAGTTTCTATGATAATCTAAACAAACAAACAAAAAAGGAACTAGTCTAATGGTACTTACTTGAGGTGTAAGTTTCCCAACTCTTTGTGTTATTGGTTCATTCAGAATCACCTCTACTTTGCAAAAATCTCTCTCTTTAGAAATGTTGAATTGTAGCTCATTTTCAGTCACATATGCAACTCGTCCCCTCTCGACAGTGATCCCTTTATTCACCAGGACAAGTTTGGCAACTATTAGAGGTGGAGGATTCCCCAGGAAAATAAGAACAGTCAACAGTAGGGATGACTTCAAAGTTTCCATCTTCAACGGATCTTCTGTTTTAACTGCTATTTAAATAAGCGTTGACTCATTTTATCTTCTGATTTAAGACACCTTCACAGAGCAATTCTGTTTTCCCCTCAGCAGTTCAATTCTGGGGAGCTTACAACTAAACAGTTCACATGGGTTACTAAGTGGAGAAACTGGTGCAAGCTCCTTGTTTTCTTGACAGTATTCAACAGATAGCGAGTGCTCCCCTGTCATTGGAAGAAATCAGTTACTCTGTATAGAAACAGAGGGAAACTGTCAATGCAAAACAGTGGCTCATATTCCAAAGGAGTGATTTTCAGACATTTTTGCTGCACCAGTCATAAAATACACAGAAAGAGGAAGCTGAGGAGAGTTTGGCCCTTTTCACAAGTTACCCTTTGCCACTTCCTCTCCTTCGCCTTACAGTTTCTTCTCCCCCTCAGCCCGTTTCTTCAGGAAACAAAAGAGTTTAGCTCACACTGGTTTTAGAGGATGAACCAAAGGAAACAATATGTCTGTGCTGGAAGTCAAGTTCCACCTAACAGATACAGTACTGTGCAGGAGAAAGGAGCACACAAAATAGAAATGATTTGAAAGAGAAATCAACAAACAGCGAAATGGTGGGGTAGTGGTGCCATTTTTAGTAGGGTGGTTAGGGAGAGGTAGTCCTATACTGAATTTTCAAAACCATGTCAGACGTTTACAAATGATTACAAAAAATTAAAGTCTTGGATTGCAGCTACTCCAAATGATGTTGGATTGCAGCTGTCGTCATACCTTACCACTGGCCATCCTGGAAGATGTAGTCCAGCAACATCTAGAGGGTCATAGGATTTTCAACTCCTATTTTGGGTGAATGTACTGAAACTCTTTGTTATCTTAATACTGCCGCCCCAATCTGGCATCCCCCCCGCCAGATGGACTATAGATCCCACAAAACAACCCTTAGCAAGAATAGCTGTTCCAGCGTCAAATGGGCCAATTGAGGAAGGTGTGTGTCCTAGCATAGGACCTCATCTCTACAGCCAGGGAGAAAGAAACATCCAAGCACGCCCAACAAGAGTGATACTAAGACAGCTAATAATATCTTTGGCCAATTTGAAAGAAATTGGTTAACAGAGCACTACAGAAGCTTTACTTGAATGTATAGTCGTAGTAAAAGGCTGCATGGCAAGCCCCAGCCTTACTCTCCCACAAACTATAACCATCCCAGAAACTAATTCCCAGATGGTGGGACTTCTGAAATTCTTGGGCTATAGCTTCCAACAACTCTGCCCATTGGCTGTGCAGACCAGGCCTTCTGAGAGTTGTGCATGAACAGCAGAAGTCCCAACGTTGGAATCCCTTTTTGTTCTTGGGGGAAGTTCTGCGGTTGCCTCCTTTCTGGGCATTACAGACGTAGCACAAGTAGTGGTTTTAATTCACAGAGACTCACTCAGGTAACATCACTTCTACAGCATTATTTTTAAAGTATGAGACAAAAAGCATGGGAATAGTGCATTGCAGTAATGGGGAGATATGCCATTTTAATAAATAAATAAATATGATGCCTTTTCTCATGTTGATGGGAAATATCTTAAATGTGATACTAACATGTTTTTAATGCAGTATTTCCAGGCTATGGCCAAGACTGCCACTGCATATCTGGACAGCTGTCCATTCTTATTTCTTCTTCTTCTTCTTCTTCTTCTTCTTCTTCTTCTTCTTCTTCTTCTTCTTCTTCTTCTTCTTCTGTAGAGTAACCATTGACATCCACTGTTGGATACAGACCCTTCTTTTGGTTTTCATACATTTTTCTTTCATGCTATTCTAATCCACAGTAGTTCTGCTGATCCTTTTAAATTATCCACCTATTTAGCTTTAAGTCTTCCTCCACTTTATTTTATTGCCCTGTTAATTTCTTAGCAAGACCAGAAAAAAGGCTGATCTAAAAGACCTTTTCTCATATTCTTAGGAACTTTCACTGCTCTGTTATAAATAACCCAAAGCTGCCATTCTCAGCCTTTTTGGGGACATGGCCATGAACACAACGTGAAAGAAATATAGGCCAAATCAGGATTGTTTAAGTCAGGTAGCACCCCTTCTGAGGTGGTATATGAAGAATTGTTTCAACTCTGTGGCCTCCTTTAAATGTGCCAGGGACCCCCTAAAAGACACATTGGTGTGACATTACTCCCTGATTTCACCATTAATGGGATAACATAAGAGATTATTTTCTTCACCTTTTATTTTATTGTCACAATAAATAATACACAAACCAGTTACAATTTTGTAAAATTTAATAGTAAATGATCATTAAACTGTACCTTCCCTACAGGTCAACTAATTTGAAGAACTGTATGTTTTCTTCCTATTTACAATGAAAATCCATCTTTTGGGGGGAAGCCATTATCTTTACTTGCCTCTTCTTTCTTTCTGAACTGTTAAGTGTTGGAAAATATGTTGCCCTTCATTGGTTAATTTATGAAGGACAAGTACTGAGTCTTGGGTCTAGACACATTCAAGACCCCCTTGGACTTCTGAAACACATTAATTGCTGAAAGGGGAGTTAGAGGTGTGACTTTGCTCAGCTGTTCATCATGTACCTGATTCTGCAACCAGTTGGGCAAAGGAGATCCTGTTGAGGGAACGCACATTTGCCCTTACACAATTACACAAGCAAAGAGGATACTGTTCAACATTTTCCAGAAAACCCAAGGTTTTTGCAGTTCTCTGAAGATGCCGGCCACAAAGACTGGCGAAACGTCAGGAAGAACAACCTTCAGAACATGGCCAAAGAGCCTGAAAAACCCACAACCACCATCCTTTTCTTTCTTGGATTGTTTTTGCTGCTGTCTGCTGGGCCCAAAGAAGAGAAGAGTGGGAATCAAGTGGTAGAGGAGAGAGTTTTGGTGTCTGTGTGAGGCTGATTGCATTTCTTCTTCTCTCTCTTTTGCCTTTATTTGCTTTTGAGTGATGGTTTTGTGGTTTTTTTAAATGTCACCATCATCCTTGTGTGGAAGATGCTTTCTCTGTTTGATTGATTTTTTAAGATTGTTAATTGGCTAATTTACTCCACATTAATTCTGGAAAAAAATGAATAAAGGGTTTTTTGAGAAAGTTTTGCTTGCTTCTGTGCAGTATGGAAGCCAGAAGGGTAATCTTGATCACTGTGCTAGTGTTCTACTTGGCTGTGTGTGTGTTGATTATTGTTCTTTCCCATGTACTATTACCTCATTTTGGTAATTTGATTCTTTGTTGCCTTGCACCCGCTTTTTGGAGTAGTTTCTAAGAGTTCTTTAGAGTTTTTGGAGCGTTAGAAAACAGTAATGGATAAACATGAATTGGAAACCCAAAATATGTTTTCCTTTTCATGTAAAACTAAAGGAACAGGGTATGAAAAATATGAAAATAAGAGAGGCAGTTCCTTGAAAGAACCCAGAAAAAAAGAAATATAAAAATGTTCACCATGTAAATCCCTAACTGGGTAACTACAAATATTAAATTTGTAGTTAACTGACCAGATAGGTGGGATATAAATAAAATAAATAAATAATAAATCTGTAACTCATTCTGTTGCTTGTTCCTTTTCAAGGACAAATGTTTGAAAAACAAGAAAATGGCCAAATTCCTCTCAAAATGCCTCAGAAAAATGTTTTAGGCAAAGAAAAGTAATGAGAACAGGTGTGATTGTCTTTCAAAACAAGGTGTTAGTGGCTGTACCCCACGCAAAACCCCATGATAGGTTTGATGAGAAGAAAATGACACTCAGATATTCAGGGTATTTGTTACAAGAGGGTTACAGAATACCAGTGTTGCCAGTCATTAAATCTTGGCAAATGAACATCGCTATAGTCTTGTTATTCCTTCTCCCCCAAATAGCATGTTTCAGATTTTACTTCTAAAGCACTACTTCCATGTTCCAGTTTTGGGATAAGTAGCAAGTACCACTTCAGGTATCCCACCATCTGACCAGACAGCTGGCTGTCACTACTAAAAGAAAATCTTAAAAGTTTGGTTTTGTTCAGGGTGGTCAGCATCCCATCCCTGAAGGCTTTAAAGCCAAAACGTAAGACCAGGAATGGCCCTTGTGATATCACAGAGGTGGGACAGGCAAGCTTCCTCCACTCCAAGGTTTGTTGCCAGGACATGAAAACATGTGTTGAGCCTCACATTCTGCTCTGTTTCAAATAGTACAATGGATTTTATGTCCGTGTGCAAAAAGTCAGGAGGGGAGGAGAGACTCGGGGGAAAAAAAGAATAAACTGGCCCATATGTTGAAGAGTTCTGTATTTATGGTTTAAATTTCTCTAGTTATGCAGCAGAAGTGCAAGGACTCATAGAACAGAATAGCTTCAAGTTCCCCAGTTTTGTCTACTCCCTTTTTTTTCATTAACTGGCCCTTACAGTCTCAATAACTGAGACATTTGAAGTGGAAAGAATAAAAGGTTTCATTACTTATAGTTCAACAGATCTCAAGGAAAACTAACAAACATGACTGCCCTCAGCATCAAGCGTCAACAGACTCACTGACTGCTTCCAACAGACAAAAAAGAGGGAAAGAGTAGAAAGGGCTGCGGGCTGTTTTTGAATACAGAGTCAGAATGGAACAATTGGTTGATGCTGGATAGAATAACAATCACCCAAGCCCAAAAAGGTCCATCCGTCCCAACCAAACTCACTAGAGGCAGTGTGTGAGGTTCAAAAACTCCACCATCATACACTTGTGCCTAGTGCTCAAACAAATTCACACTCGGCCAGTAACCTTTGATGCCAGCTGGGAAGGGGCAGAGATAGGTGACCAAACCATTTCACAAATAACAAAACAAGTGGTCTTCTATCCTGCTCACCCTGAGATCTGTTTCCCTACCTAAGTTCAGGGGAGCACAGAAATTAATTCCCTGAGATTTTAACCAGTGCCCTGAAATGAAATAGCCATCCTATTTCAGTTATAAATTAAGGCCAGAGAGAAAAAAATGAAATACAGCCATGAAAAACTGCAGCATGACCCAGAATTAGGAACAGATGAAAGACAATAGATCTTGACAGTGTTTATTGATGTTAATGACAGATGTCTGGGAAACAGGCAGGGCCATGCTATTTTTAGAAATGGGCAGGGTTCAGAAATTATGCTGTAGACAAAAGGATGATGAAGTTCATATTTGTAGATGTGGGAGGTGAAGCATCAAGCTAAGATGTAGCTCTGGAAATGGGGGAAGAATGATGTAGAAAGTAACACA